AAAAGCATAAGACTGTGAAAATATGAAAATGATTAAATTTAAAAAATTGAAGAGTTTATTCATGTTTAGGTGTTCATGATTAAAAGCATAAAACTGTGCAAATATGAAAGTGATTAAATTTAAAAAATTGATGAGTTTAATCATACTTAGGTGTTCATGATTAAAAGCATAAAACTATGCAAATATGAAGATGATTAAATTTAAAAAATTGAAGAGTTTATTCATGTTTAGGTGTTCATGATTAAAAGCATAAAACTGTGCAAATATGAAAATGATTAAATTTAAACAATTGAAGAGTTTGATCATGTTTAGGTGTTCATGATTAAAAGCATAAAACTGTGCAAATATGAAAATGATTAAATTTAAACAATTGAAGAGTTTGATCATGTTTAGGTGTTCATGATTAAAAGCATAAAACTGTGCAAATATGAAAATGATTAAATTTAAACAATTGAAGAGTTTGATCATGTTTAGGTGTTCATGATTAAAAGCATAAAACTATGCAAATATGAAGATGATTAAATTTAAAAAATTGAAGAGTTTAATCATACTTAGGTGTTCATGATTAAAAGCATAAAACTGTGCAAATATGAAAATGATTAAATTTAAACAATTGAAGAGTTTGATCATGTTTAGGTGTTCATGATTAAAAGCATAAAACTATGCAAATATGAAAATGATTAAATTTAAAAAATTGAAGAGTTTAATCATGCTTAGGTGTTCGTGTTTAAAAGCATAAAACTATGCAAATATGAAAATGATTAAACTTAAAAAATCAATGAGTTTGACCATGTCTAGGTGTCCATGTTGAAAAGCATAAAACTGTGCAAATATGAAAATGATTAAATTTAAAAAATTGATGAGTTTGAGAGTGTGTAGGTGTTCACCTCTAAAAGTACACATAGAAGTAAATAAATTTGATCATTTCTAAATTTGAAAATTTATGACTATGATAATGTCTAGGTGTCCAGATTTAAAAATACAGAAATGTGCAAATATGAAAATAATTACATTTGAAAAACTAAAGAGTTTGATGAAGCATACGTGTCCATCTCCAAAAGTACACATAGAAGTAAGTAAATTTGATCATTTCTAAATTTGAAAATTTATGACTATGATAATGTCTGGGTGTCCAGATTTAAAAGTATAGAAGTGTACAAATATGAAAATAATTAAATTTGAAAATCCAATGAGTTTGATGAAGCATAGGTGTCCATCTCCAAAAGTACACATGGAAGTAGGTAAATGTGATCATTTCTAAATTTGAAAAGTCATGACTATGATAATGTCTAGGTGTCCACATTTAAAAGTACAGAAGTGTACAAATATGGAAGTACAATTAAACTTGAAAAACTAATGAGTTTGATATCTACGTGTCTACCCCTAACCTCTACCTCAAGAAAACATCTAAATTTGTTAAAAACAAGAATACAAAAATTTGAAAACCCCAAACACGACGAAAAAATAATTTACACGTTCCATCAGTAATAACACAGAATTTGATCATCAAACTATCTGCCAAAATGCAAATGTAATTTCGCAGCCCAGTGTCATCCTGCAATATAAAGGGACGTTTATCCAAGCCCAATTGTGAAGACGCGAAAATTGGAAGCATGTTAGGCGAGGGAAATAACGAAAGCGGTATAGTCTTCGAACAATGTCGAAACGAAGCGTGAATGGAGAGACTAGTGGCGAGTTCTCTATTATTCTGACCGTTGGGCGTGTATTTTGCTCTTAATCGTGCTCCACACCTCGCTGATCCTCCAAGAAAGGATGTTTGCACGTATAGGTGAGCTCTGTGAATGAAACTGCAACTTAATATACCTCCTCTGAGGTGTGCATCGCACAATTCCGATTATTTCGCAGACGGCCGGAACAAAGACGGACGAAATGAAATGCGGTTCAGACGAGTCAGCAGCAGAATTTCGCGTTTACGGTTTAACCTTCTTCTTTGTTGGACTACATGCTTTGTAATCGTTGCATGCTGTAAATTTACTTGCGAGTGCTGATTTATCTAACCCTTTTTACCATTTTCGAATAGTTTTAGCATACTGAGGGGTTTGAGAGGTTAGGGTTGATCCATGTGATCAAATCGTTCTCTGATATTTTGTTTATATTACATTTTGTATTTATTACCAGAAGAACTGTTTAGTATACAAGTTTAAGTTAGTAGATGCACATAGACATACATATAAACAGACATATACATAAATATTGTCATCTTAAGCCTCTAACTAATCAGTGCAAAAAAGTGAGGTTAGACCTAAATGCAACAACTAAGAAAACTTCTTTTTTATTGTCAAAATGTTCTCCACCTATGAATCATATTAAAATCTGTAACATTACCTTTATTCATCAAATTTATTGACATGTCTTTGACATAAACAGTAACATTTGTCAATGATATACTTCTGGCCTACAAAAATTAATTTGATAAAATAGTCACATAAATATGACGTTAAAAATGTGGTGCAAAAATATTACATTTTAAAAATTCATATAATAACACCACTAAAAACCAGTCCATTTCAAGAGAAGAAATATGAAGCTTATAAATAAAATAACAGATGTGATAAGAATATTTATAGGGAGATTTGCACAACCGCAGTAACGTAACACTAGGTGATAATCCCGGGGGTCTTAATTTTATGGTAGACCTTCGATCCTAACAAGTCGATGCGGTACATTGACAGGTACGGTCTTGATACGGAGTGCACAGCCATTTTCAATCGAGAACCCATTTTGCGGCAGCGTGAAACGAAGCCTACGAGAAGCTATCGAACACATCCAGAACATTGTGTTCGCATATACACCCTATCTGGCAGAAGCCAGTCCATGGCAGCCCATTACATGACACGGCCGCGTTAAATCGAGAAAGAAATTGGATGGATGCGAGTCACCGATAAAACTCGAAGGGTGAAGAGGACGTTTTGGACGGGGTTGGAAAATTTTTGACATTGTGTCGATAAGTCGGGTCCGATGGCTGATAGATTTCGGGGAAAAATGAGGTGCTTGGGTATTGATCTCCGTTATTGCCTTCAAAATTCACATTATTTTTTTGTAATCGTTTCATTAAAAATTTGGCAAGAATTGTAATTGCGAAAATATTAGTATTTAATTATGTATGGATACAGTTTGTTAAATTTAATTTATTTATTAGATTGGTACTTACAGTCGTAATCAAAGATGAAGAGATGAGAGAATAATTACAGATGTAATTTTTTAACAACTTCAAAAAATGATAAACCTTGTTATGAACTAATAAATATTTAAGTTGTGATATTTCTTGTGATGCATTAATTGTGAATTTTGTAAGAATAAAGAAAGAAGGACGTTGAAAATGAATCTATTTAAAGGGTGTTTCGATCGAAAGAAAAATCTATTTTTCGTGGTTGACCGGCTTAAAAACTGGTTTAAGAGGGTAAAAGCCGCGCGGCAAGGATGAAGAGGCGTTTTTCTTTCGCATGGAATATCTCGATAACGCCGAAGGATATAAAAAGAAACTGAAGTATATCTAACATCAGTTTTTAAGTGCTACGAGATGCCATCAAAGTTTATTTTAAGTATAAAATTTCCTCGTGGATTCAGACGGTGAAAGTTCTTTTCGACGTGTTTTTATGCAAGTTTTTAGAGATCGAGCTTCCGTAACTGATGTTCGTGCTAGTTGCATTCAATCATTTTCTGGGCTTTTGATTTCATAGAGTACGAATAAAATATTAAGGCACTTATCATTGAGTTGTTTGCTTTCATTCGAATTATTCTGGTTTCGGCTATTTGAAATTGGCGCCAAATTTGATGAAATCTAAATGAAATTCTCCTGACATAATTTATTCTAAAATTGGCTTACAAATATGTTGCTAATTATTATATAAATTAACAAAATGACGAACTAGATACACTTACATGCTTCAAATTTAGCGCCAAAAGTAACAGCGATGGCTACATTAGAATATTTTGAATTTGACAATGAATTCAATAGAAATAATTTAATCAGAACTCTTCACAAATAGTATACGTAATAATCGTCTCAAAATAGAGCAAACATTCCTTAAAATTTTTACATAGCTCAACAAAATCACCAACTGAACTATTCACATCTGAAAAGTTTCAAATTTGGCGCCACAAAACTTAAGAGCTATACCAATAAAACTTCTCCGTGATTAATGTATACAACGATGGTCTTAAAAAGAGATAAATATACCACAAAATTCTTTCGCAGTTCACCAAACTGCGACAGCTAACGTAGCTTCCAAATGCTTCTCCATAAATGCTTCAAATTTGGCGCGAATTTCAAACGTCGTCATTAGTAAATTAAAGAAAACTAAATTATAGTGAATATTAGATAATTCTACTTTGATTTTATTTCCTCCAGAACTTGTTATTTAAGTTACAGTTATTTTTATTT